AAGATTGAAATTTATTAATTATATTTAATTATCTATATCACAGCAATTTTTGAGATTTAAAAATCCATTCGCGTGCATAAACACGAACTATTTGGTAATAAGAATTAAACTCCACCACTTCTTTTAGGGAAGTTTTAGTCAATTCATCATATTCTTCATCAGAAACTTGCAATTTTTTTGTTAAAACAGGTTTAAGAGAAGAATACGCAGAAGTCAAATTACTGAGAATCTATTTATTTGATATAATATTAAATACTTTTAATTTTTTAACAGATTCATTCTATACAATACATTACCGCTTTAGTAAGTTCAACACTGTTATTTGTGCCATGATAGCATGGCTTAACTTCTTTTTGAATATTTTCTAATTGGCCTAATATAATAAATATTATTATTATTAAATTATAATAAATTATGATAATTAACAAATTGTAAATTATAAAAATTAACAAATTGTAAATTATAAAAATTAGATAAATAGACAAAAACCTTGATTTCGACAATATCCCTCTAATTTTAGATATGAATCAGAATCACAACCTCGTTGGTTTACCATTTCGCATACTTCATGATAATTAAATAAAACATTATGTAAGTAAATAATAAAGCTATTGTAGCATTAAAATACATACCACCATCAGCAATACGTTTATTAGATGGTCCTGCATCATAACAAAACAGGGAAGGTTCACATAACTTTTTTTTTTCAAAAAAAAAATGAATAATCAAAAATACAAATTATTTAAAATATAAAAAATTAATATTTATATTAAATATTAAAAATCAATATTTATATTAAATTTCAAATAAGTATACCTCTAAAAATCCACCCGGTTTTAAAACTCTGACCAGCTCATTTATTACTTGAGGCCAATTCTCTTTGGAAAGACCAAATACTAAATATCGTTGAAATACAAAATCAAAAGTATTATCATCAAATGGTAATCTTTCTTCAACATTTGCCATAACGAATTCAAAATTTTTAGGTTTTATCGTAGTTGGTTGGTAAGGAGATATATCTACACCAACAACCTTAGTTAATGGGTAACTAAGAACACATTATAAAGATTAATTATTCTTATAAGATTAATGATTCAATTACGTATTCTCAACTATGTCTCAGATGTACGTACGTCGTTGCAATGTCAAAAGACCATGAACCTGCACCACAGCTAAAATAGAAACGTTAAGATTTTAGTGTAATGCTAGTATTTTTTATATTTTTTAATAAAGTTGCCAATATATAAATGATGATTAATTATATGGAACATAATATATTATTAAGTAGTTTTCTTTCATCAAGAATAATTACCCGACATCGAGGACTTTGGTACCTTGTTTAGACAAAAGATGATCGACAGGAGCAGAAAAGTTGCTTTGCCAGAGATACCTTACTATGAAATGCTGTAAATGTAACCTATCTGTTTCATCATCATCGTTAGGTAAATGATATTTAGAATTTTCCACGTTATGAAATCTTCTACCATCAATGTATCGAAATTCATTTTGTGTGCTTTGTGTGCTTTGAGAATCCATAGAATTGATTCTTTTATTAAACTTAGAGCAAACACGTCCCATGACGATAATAATTATATTACATCAAAATTATTAAAAATGTAAGAAAATTGAGGATGATTTTAAAGAGTGTAGAAGGTAGGAATTCGCCAAAAAATTAATTGTTTAAAAAAAAGTAGTGCGGAAATACTCACAAATTTAAGTAAATATTTATTATATATAACTGTGTCAACAATTGATTATTTTTTAAAAAATTCTTTGTTATTGCACGCGAATGGATTTTTAAATCTCAAAAATTGCTGTGATATAGATAATTAAATATAATTAATAAATTTCAATCTT